TTCCATGTGGGCTTTGTTGCTTCTCAGCTAGATAGCTGCTTGTTAACCTTCAAGCCTTTAAGAGCCCAGATGCTATATCTTTTGATAGCTGGGAACCATCAGCTTTCTTTACCACATTTGCTTATGCACACATTTGTCTTCAGCAATCCTGTCAGGAAGGTACACATCAAGGAATGCCAATTTAATAGAACAAAGTGTTCTTGCATTGAGTAAGTACTTGAGTGGAGGTCCAATGTCCATCTGCTGCCTTAATACTAAACCTATAAATATATGTACATAGATCTATTTCCCCAACACCCTATATAATATATTTACAAAATCCCACTATGAGACACAACATCCCTCACTGACCCATGGCCCTAAGGGGGACAACACTGGCCTGGTCTGACCCCGCGACACTGAGACAAAACACAAAAGCCGTGCAGCAGAGCAACAGGGAGAGCAGAGCATGGAGCACCCGAGGGAGTGCAAAGGATAGACTTTGGGGCCACAACATGGCACCCCATGGACTTGACTGGAGGACACACCTAGAGGTCAAAAGTCAGACCTTGATCTATTCATAGGTTTTTCTTTCTTTTTAAAATTAAAAAAAATTTTTTTAATTAATTTATTCTTCTCTGGTTATTGTTTTTCTTTTTTGTTATAATAGTGTTCTTGTTTATTGCTTTGCCTTGCTGTGCCTTGTTTTTTGGTGCATAATATTATCTCTGCAGCTCTATCTAGATTAGATAGGCTGGATGGACAATCTGGAGGAGAAAACAAAGGGACTGATAGTTCTGGGGGACATGGGAGAGGGGGAGGTGAGGCTAAGGGTGTGGTGCTGACCAACCCAGGGACAGGGGAGCAACAAGTGATCCAAAATTAGTGGCAAGGAGGGTGTGAGAGGCCTGGTAGGGATTCAGCAAGGGCAATGTAACCAAGAGAAAGTACTGAAACTCAAATGAAGACTGAGCATGATAGTGGGACCAGAGGAAAGTAAAAGTAAAAATAGAGGAAAGAACTAGGAGGCAATCAATCGTTTTTAAACCTACAAAGTGACCTCAAGGTTTGAGGTCAGGGAAACGGTCCAGGGAGTCCTCTAGTCTCAAGTACAATAAGTCTGTTGCTGTTGTTTCATGTTTGTTTCTGAGGTTTTGACTTTTATGTCTTGTAGGAGCTTGAGGTTCTCCACATTCTTCTCCCATGTTCTGTCCGGGTTCATCTCGTATATGGCCCTGATCAGAATCACAGAAAGTGGTCGTCGGGCACCATCTAGTTCTGCTGTCAGAGTAGATGAGACAGGGGTTCGTGTAGACTACTTGTCCTATAAACTAGTTTCTACTGTGAATCTTTGGTCTCCTTCTTTCTTGCTCTTTTAAAAAATAATTTCATTTTGTCACTTTTTGAGAATATATAGAGCAAAACACATAAATTCAATAGTTTTTACATGTTCAATTTAATGGCATTGACTACATTCTTCAAGTTGTACAACCATTTCCACTCTCCATTTCTAATATTTCACCCCCTTCAACATAAATTCATTGTCCCCTAATCTCTGGAGTTGCTATTGTACATGTGATCCTCTATAGATAGTTGGAGGTGGTGTAGTGGATTACATATTGGGCTGCTAAACACAGGTTCATGGTTTGAAACCATTGGCCATTCCTCAGGAGAAAAATGGGGCTATCTGC